GGGTCCAAAGAGTTCCTAGAATAGAGCAAACTACTATTCTGCGAGAGGCCTTGGCTTGGAGTTGCTGGTTGCATCCAGCGTGTTGATGCTGAAGATGGCTTTGCTATGGGTATTGGATTGCATAGGGATACCTTAGTATGGGCCCATCACCCTGGGATTCTTATTCACCTACTAGATATACTCTATACATATATGTGTATATATATATATCCTTAAAGACCCTGGTGGGCGTGTGACTCGGAGTGTCCGCTGGCAGAAGTACAAAATTTGGTCCGAGATTCCTTGTACACTCATGGTATGGGGTACATGAGAAAAGACCTAAGCCGTATGTTGGTATTTCTTGAGGCCTCTATAGTATCTTATCTGGAGCAGATCTGGGACGTGTTTAAGACAGGATCTCACAGGATCCATGTGAACTTTAACAGCGACATCCGAAACCCTGAACCCTAAATCACATTGAAGGTTTGCTTATAGTCTCTCTTTCCTGACCTTGCGGGATTCAAACCTTGAAGTGCTGTCCGAGCCATGCAGGTGGCAGAAATCAAGAGGGTGCGTCTTTGTGATCTGTACCTCATTGAAGTGTGGACATCAAAACCTGAAATTCGCTTCGCTCACTCTTATGAAATCCCTAAGTTTCATGTGTACGCTATGGAACTGGCAGTTGCAGGGCAAGCGACAAAAAACTGGACAAGCTGGGTTCCGCAGGGCCGCAGGGTCCAACTATACTGGCCGCTGCAAAACCTAAACCCTATACGTAAACCCTAAAGCCCTGGCTGAGGTATGACTTGGTTCCAGGTTTTGAGGATACGGAGCCCGACACTGCGGAGCAGTCCGCACAGCGTTTCCTCTACCAAAATGGCTTTTCACAAGTTTCTCAGGCCATGTCTCTAAAAGGTAGTTTCCTAAAATTAGGGGTGCCATCTTGGGTGTCCCGAGAATAACTGTGGTCCCCTCATTTAGGGAATCTACCAAATAAGTTGTGTAGGCGGCCTTCAAGGAATGCACCACAAACCAAATGACCCTCTTCATGCGGATGTAAGAAGGATTTTCGATTCGGGGAGTGTCCTTCTGTCACAGCCGCGGAATGTTTCTGTGACCCGGAAACTATAGTGTGATGATCCGTGGTTCCCACCAGGGTTCAATGATCCGGACCATTCATGGCTAGCTCCAGATGCCACAGCAGTGGGTGTTTGTTGTTTCTCTCCTGAAAAGCTAAACAGTGAACAACTTCAAGTTTACAGGTAGAGGCATGGAGCCCTAGGACCCTGTGAGGTTGATGAGGGCGGCTGGGCACCGTTGCACTACGCAGCCATGCGTGGAGACCCGATGATAGTGAGGGCTTGCTCCAATGTCGGGCCAACATGAACCGTTGGACACGGAAGGACCAGCAACAAAACAATCCGTAACAGTCGTCTTGATACTAGGAATAGCAATAGTCATAGTGATACAATGAGAAGAAGAATAGTCAGGCTAATAGCAGCAACATAAACCATTGCTGGATGCGGAAGGACTCGCCACTTGCTGGGATACCTTTGGGAGCAACATCACTCCACATTTCCAGCTACTTCAAGCACCACGGCGTCTTGCGCCTGCTGATTTCTGCAAGGGCGAAGGTGGAAGCTGGTCTTCATCCAGCTCTGTCGGCAGCAGCTATAGGCAACAATCCTGAGGGTATCCGTCTGCTCTATGCCGCCGGCGGTCGGCTTGATCGGCGCAACCTTTTCGGAGATGCCGCCTTCGAGTACGCCGCGTCCATGGCTGCGCTTGATGCGTTGGAGGAGCTTGCTATGCTAGCACGATTGAGGTCTGAGCCAGTGGATCCTTGGGCTTTGTGTCACGGTTGGTGTTTTGTGCAGTCTAGGCTTAGGGCTTAAATCCTGGAGCAGGACCTTGCTTCCGGATACAGACCTAAGGATGTGGCAGCGTCCAAAGCACTTTATCTGGTGTCAGCACATCGAGGAGCAAGTGCGGAGGCCGTCCATCGGCTTCTGCAGCTGAGGGCTGATGTGAATGTCGCGTATACTGCAGATATGAGGACCGGCTCTAACAACCAGTTATGCTGTCCTAAGGCAGCAGAAGCCATGCAACACCATAATGCTAAACCCTATTGCGGACTGCAGGACCGTGCCAGCGAAGACGGTGCTTGCAGCCCTGCAGCTCAAGCACCGATATGGCCAACGGACCATGATGAGCAGATGGGCTTATCATCACGATCGTACCTTGGATATGGTTCGGCATGTTTAAGTAGGCCCTGAAGTAAAAATAGCCACCCGACAAAAGCTGCCACGACCTTAGCTCGATCTCCTGCGGGCCCAGGTCAGACGCCACTGATGGCAGCCATCATGTCCGGCCAGTACGAGGGAGCTGCTGCACTCATCGCAGCTGGTGCGCGCCTGGATCTACGCGACTCGCGCAACTGGACTGCTGCAGACTTCGCGCAAGGTGAGCCCCAAAACTAGAGTGCCAGCATGCGCCAGCACAAAATCCTGGAAAACAGATCCGGTTGTTTGGTCCATAGTCAAGCCGTTCGGAATGGTGGCAAAAGTGGCCACGTTTACAAGGGGATTCCGCTGGAAAAGGGACGTCGTTTTCCCGAAGCCCTGAGACACACAATCCCTTCAATTGTTTTAGACACAAGAATGCCCCTAAAGGCAAGCAGAGTTGCAAATCCGCTTAAAAACCTAAAAAAACCCTCCTCCACCAGGTCATGCAGTGCCTGACTTCTTAGTGGAGGCCTTTGAAGGGCGACTTGATGGCTGCAGGAGAGTCGCTGCAATTGCATATGCCAATTCGCTCCTGGAGCTCTAGGCGAAGTTGTGTTTTGGTGGAATTTAGGGTTTAAGGTTTGGAATTGGGTTGAGGACATAGGCCTTGAGTGTTGCATTTAGTAGTTTTTGCGGTTTGGGGTCTGCTTCCTCGTGTTGCGATTGAGGTTTTAAAGCTTAAGCCATTTCTAGGTGCTCAAAACCACGACCCTGTGAGCTCATACATATCGGATCGCAAGGTCCCAAGGACCTTGATTATATGATTGTGATTCAACTGTTTAACGAAACTCGTTAGCTCTGAGTGCTTTTCCGCTTTGCACCTAGAGACCTCTTCAGACCTTATCTCTCCGCACGACGTCCAGCTCCATGTCTGGTATTGTATACGACCGACATATCCCAACAGGATTATGTATTCGTTCTTCAATAGCAAACTGTCAATGATGCTGAAAGCTGGGCGAAGGTGCAGTTAGCAACGTCAAAGCACAAAGCTCTCGACCTTTTCGCGGTGAAAGCAATGGTCGAGAGCTTCTGGATAAGCCAGTTTGCTGTTTTTTAGTCTCGAGGTGGTTGACGACGGGTTTGAACGCAAGAACACACTGCAGTAATTGCGCTGCGGTAGATTGCAGCCTGAGGCGAAGCCTTGTCGGCAACATGGGCAACTAACAGAGATGTGCCAAAACCAGGGTGTGCGGAATCCATTTACTGCAGTGCATTGTCGTTTGAAGCGCCGTGTGTAATACAAGAGTTTGAATGATGAGAGAGTAATTGAATTTTGTCATTAATCCTAATGTACTTGTAGTGTCATCCCTGGGGGTTACAGCACGCTGCAAAGATTCTAGGTTCTATTGTAGTGCAGCAACGAAAACCCAAGCATCAGTCTTTCTGGGTGATGTCCCTTCCTTCCGGGGGGGTGGGTAGAAGGGGCTTTAAATGGGATATCAACATCTATGTGTTTGTGCACGTTCTTGTTTGGCCCCCTGTTAGTTCATCCGCCAGGTCGCATCATGGGTTTTAATAGGCTTCAAGGCTTCGAGGCTTTAGGGTTTAGCACGTTCTCAATGGTTCTATACATGGTTTTCCCAAATCAAACAGTTTCGTCCCGCGTTCCGGAGGATTGCAGGGCCATTTGAGGGCTCAGGTTGCATTGACCTTCTGATACCTTTGCAGTTGCTTTGTTTATATGGAGGGCTGTTGAAATTATGGCTCTTCTTGGGCATGTACCCCACAGCATGCGGCAGGGAATATTTAGGTACCCAAATACGTACCATGTTTTGGGCAACCGTATGTCTACTGTCCGCCAGCAAACAGTTTCAATTTCACAGGAATTGTCTCTGCTAGAAAAGGGTTGGGCGACATTGCGGCGGAGAGTTTTGAGTTGATCTATCTGGAAGGACCCCCTTTCATGTTGCTGAACTATTCCTCAAGCGTATAGTAATAGCTATGTACGTTTTGAACCAGAATTTATTACACCATTATCATCCGGCCTCAGAAGTGAAGTTTGCTTATTATTAGTAGTAATAATGGAAATAATAGTAGTACTAGTGCTTCATGGTAATGATAAAAGCAACCACAATAGTAATAATCATAGTAATAGACATCTTACAGGTGCAGTGAAGCTCCCTAGCGTATCTGGCCCCAGTGCACCAACCTTGTCTGAGGCTTTGGCAAAGCCACACCCAAGAAATGTCCCCGACAAGGGCTTCCTGAGGGCAAACAGGAAGTTTCATTACGTGTGTGTAGAATTTGGGGTAGGGGGCCAGATCACAAATTCCTACCTATAGCTAAACCCTGAGACGAACGAGTTTGGGGATAGGTTGAGCAGTACCAGCAGACCCACATTGAGATGGACAGAGCGATGGCCAGAAGCCTCGGGCACCCGAAGCTATTTGAGCTATAGTCTAAACTCCCAGTATCCCCCTTAATACCCCTATAATAGCCCCCTATATAATCCCCTATATGAACCCCTTTTAGGAGTTTAGAGTATATCTCATTTCGACTTCGAGGTGCCGGAATACGGTTCGGGGTTTAGCGCTTACGGTTTACAGTTCCAAGCGTGTGGCAAGCTCCCTCAGTTGGGAAGACAAACGTTGATTAGAGCCACGCCTTTGCCAGGGCCTGCGGAGGAAGAACAACAATCCCTGGTCTTGACATGGAAGCCCTCTCCCACCCGTAATACTACATATTCTGCGGCCCGAGAAACAGGTCATTAGCAGGGGGATTCGTTCATAGGATTCAAGGGGCCCCTTTTCAGGTTCCATTAAAAAAGGAAACCCTTTGCTGATTGACTGAGATTTAGAATGAATTAATTAGTTGCTAATTGCAAGTGAATCATTCGATTCTAATAAGCCATCTCGAATGCAAGTTAAGACCAGTTGAGTCGTGCTAGCTAATTGTTTCGAACTCGCGAAGTTGTTCCAATCTATCCCTGGGTCCGAAAAAGTTGGTTAACTCGAAATAGCTAAGCAATGAACTAATCAAACGCATAAGGTACAATCAGGCGGGTTAACTCGCAGTGCGTACTTAATTGATTGGGAGCTCGCCGTTTTTGCTGACTAGCCAGTTAGTTTTGGTTAAGCCACTAAGTTAGTTCTCATTAGCTAAGAGGTTCGCATCCACCAACTTGTCATATGTGTTTTGAAGAAGCCGTAAAACAGAAAACAATGAACAGAGGGCATGAAAAAGATTCCCTCCCAGTGATTCGTGATAACGACCTTCCAAAGGAATACAGGACCTCTCACCAATTCCTTACAAGGTGGCTCCTTTCAAAATTAGTCTTCCACTTTCAAAAGCGTTCTTCCAACCTTTCAGGCCCTGAAAATCGGATCACTTATTCAATATTGATATGAACAGGAAGTTAATGTTGGGGGAAGAGATTCAGAAAGCGGGTCTAGAAACACTGGCCATGATGGCAGGACGTCGCTGACATGAACCCCAAATCCTAAGCTCTAAACAGGTCCAGGTATGGGTGCATGCTATGCCGCGATACTCTGAGTTGCAGTTTTCTTCCCCACATGAATGTCGTCCATAACCTAGCACCCTTAGTTGGGCTTATATGGGGCCCCAGACAGTGGTACTTAGTCCCGGCTAGCGGGCAGTTAGAGGGTCTAGGCAACCCTAAACCCCAAACGCTAAATACTAGCTTCCATTTGCTTTTTCATTCTCCCTAGATCTTACAGAACTTGTCTTATAGTAGCTTCCATTGTCTTTTCCATTCTATTATCTCTATAGAATGTATCCTATATAAACCCTGCATTGCATGGTCTAGGGATCCAGTAGCGAGTCAAGGCAAGACTTAGAATAATTACTCTGCATGGAGGAAATCTTGCACCACCCCACATCGCCCAAATAATGGTAAGTACCACATTTTCGGGATCCTAAATGGTACAAGATTTCCTACATCCACCGTAGCTTTTGTTGTGCAAAGTGGGATTAACGTCTGAAGCAAACCTAGCTTTCTGGAGATGGCTCAACCTTGTGGGATGACCCATTATAGTCCCCCCTTAAGTAGACAGAATATAAGGTATATGGGGATCTTATTATAATATACCCACAGCCATATTCTATTCATTTAAGGGGGACTATAACAGAACTTTAATGGGAACCCCAAACTGAGAACCCCAAGAGTGCAGTAGGAAACTACCATCGACCTTATTTTCCGCTTGTATTCCTCCTATATTCTTCGGGTTCCCTGTTTGGGGTTCCCATGAAAGTCCTTTTAAGGGTTATGAGAATCACATGACGTCGCGGCTGTGTAAGGGGGGCCTGATTCTTTTCTCAGTTAACCCATCCTCCTCCGTTTGCTATGAGAAGGCCTGGACCTAGGCCAGTCCTTCAAAACGATAAAACGATGGCTTCCCCAATCCACAAGCAACCAAGCGCAATTGGGGGGGGGTGTAATATTGGAATAGTGGAAAATCAACAGCCAATTATGACCCCCCACCCCGCAGGGGTGGTTTTTAATGACATGTGGTGTTTTTAATTGCTTCGCTTGAGGAGATTTGCGGTAAGACCTAAATGCTCACTAGATGCCAGGGCTGCGATCTGACGTTATGATGCTTTGCTTTTTGTTTTTCAAGATTGCTGCCTGGTAGTTGATAGTGCACTCGGTGA